AGCTCCTCACCACTGGCTCTGGAGGATGCGGTTCTCTCTGTCTGCCTGGGAAAAGCTCCTCACCACTGTCAACTTTTGTTGCCCCAGCGTTCCCAGGTTCCTTGGGGAACTTCACGTGGCATCTCTCTTCTTCCATTTGTACGTCTCAATTCTGTGACTTTTCTGCTCCTTATACCTCAGAAGTGACCAAATTTCAGACACACCAAGCACTGGACTGTGAGCTTGCAGGTGGGCGGTTCAATCCCACCAGCCACTCCTCGGAACCCTTAACACTGGCTTGTTAGGAGTCAGATTCAACTCCACAGCATTTAACAACAGCAACAACCACACAGGTATGGCCTCATTAACAAAACAAGAAACATCTATTTCCTAATATGATTATATCTACAAGCAGAGGAGCCCTGGCGGCACTGTGGGTAGGCATTGGGCTGCTAACTGCAAGATTGATGGTTCAAAACCACCAGCCACTAGGAGGGAGAAAGATAAGGCTGTCTACACCGATAAAGATGTGCAGTCTTGGAAACCTTGTATAGGGTCTCTGTGAGCTGGAATCGACGCGAAGGCAGTGGGTTTGATAAGGGTTAGGATTCCAGCACATATTTTGGAGGGCATAGTTCAAGCCATTACTTAGTAACGACCACCCCAAGGAATGCGCCACATTTCAAACTGCACATGTGTGAACACACACAGTAGAGGGGAATGAGATGCAGTTAACTAAAGCTGCATGAAACCTATTTTATTTTCCCATCTTTTGAGTGTCAAGAATATGAGAGGATGGACCAGCCTGCGTTCCAGGCACAGCAGAGCAGCTGGTTGTGGAAGGACTCGTTCTTGGGGCACTGCTGACCTCTGCTGGTCACCATAGGCACAGCAGGGAGAGACAAGCAGGCTTCAAGCTCCACGTGGCTTTCACATCCCAGACCATGCTGACACTGCCTCATTGTCTAAGTCAGTAAGTTAAGGCTAAAGAGCCTGGAATTCTTCAGGAACGCTGAGTGCTATGCTCTTCACCAGGCCCAGTAAACCAAGATGGCAGTGGAGGCATTCACCATCTGGGTCTCTAGACCTTGACTGGGTGAGGCAGTCATCCTTAGCTCCCTATGGCAGGTCTGAACTGCAGTGAGCTGCGAGGTGCAGTCCTGTTTCTACAGGACACCACTGTGAAACCCCAGGCCAACTCAGGAGGAGACATGACAATGCTAGAGGTTGTTTCTCAGACAGTCACTTCCGCAGGGATCACAAATCCGTAACTGAGAGGTCTGGGGGTTGGATTCTGGATGGTATTGTTGTATATGTTAATATCAGGTTGCTGCCTGTTGTTGTTGGTTGTCCATCCAAAGAACTCCCTTGAGTATTTTTTGGAAGATTGATCTGGTTTTTACAAATTCTTTTCATTTCTGTTTATCTGGAAACATCCTAATTTCACCATCATATTTGAGGGACAATTCTGCTGTATGCGCGATTCCTGACAGGCATTTTTTTTTTTTTTTCTTTCAGAGTTTTATATATGTCAACCCATTATCTTCTTGCCTGCATGGTTTCTGCTGAGAAATTAGAGCTTAGACTGATTAGTTCTCCTTTGTAGGGAACTTTTTTTTTTTTTTTTTTTTTTCTGAGCTACTCTCAGGATTCTTTTCTTGTCTTTGGTTTTAGACAATTTGATTATAATATGTCTTGGGAGTTCTTCCTTTGGGGTCAGTTCCCTTTGGAGTTTGTTCAGTTTCTTCAGTGCGTGTATTCTCACCTTTCATGACGTTAGGGAAGTTTTCCTATAACAAGCCTTAGGCAATTTTCTCTGTGGTTTCAGTTTTTGTCCCTACCTGTTTGGAAATTCCAATCACACATAAGTTACTCCTCTTGATGGTATCCCACACAATGCTTAAGCTTTCTTTGGACTTTGTGTTCTTTTTTCTGATGGATCCTCTAGCACATAAGTATTGAGAGATTTGTCTTCAAGCTCACCAATTCAGCCTTCCACAGATTCAATTCTACTTCTCTGCCCCTTCAATGTATTATCTACTTCTCAAATCTTAGTGTTAATCTGGATTTCTTTGGGCTGTTTTTTTATGGTTTCTGATTCTTCATTTTAGTCCGTTTGTTCTTGTAATGTTTTCTTGAATTCTCCTAAAGTTTTTACTTTGTTCTCCATGCACCTTTCTTGATTATTCTCTCGGTTCATAGAAGGAACCTAAATTTTAATCTTTGGAATTCCTTATCAGGTAGTTCTAGTACCACTGTATCTGCTGTTTACATTTCCTGACTCTGCATTTTGGTCACTTGTTTGAACCAGTCTGTCTAGTTTCTTTTGTAAGCTGAATTTGTCTCTCATCTCAGAGGCACTGTGGTGTGCTTTAATTTACATCTAATTGATGATTTTATGCTGCTGTGTTCTTGGGCATTCACACAGTTCTCTGCTGTTTGTGAAACATAGTTCAGGGTGGGTTTGCCCGATGTTGGCTGCTAATTATCATTGATCAGGTGGTACAGCAGTGGGTAGTGGTGCTTGTCCAAGGAGTAGAGTCACAGGAGGTGTGAGTGTGGATGGGCTGTATGGACCCAAAATCAGACAACAGCAATAAAATATAATGAGGTGAAGTCCACCAGCCTCTAGTCACAGGGACTCAATGCCCAGCTCCAAACCCCAGGCAGAGCAGAGACTGGGCAGTAGGGGGCCCACCAGGCAGGTGAGGGCAGGGGCTGGCCACACTCACAGCTGCCAGAAGGGCTCGGGAACAAGAAAGAACTGTACACCCATGGCCACCAACCTACAGTGTGTGTCCTGTGCCTCTGGGCCATCCACAGCGATCAACAGCCACACACAAAAGCTCATGATGGCTGGCTGCACTGTGCCAGACCTGCCAACAACCCACCATCTGTCTCCTCTCCCAACCGGCACTCAATCCACGTCTCCACCCTTTCCTCTGAGACGCAGGGTTCCAGAAGCCCACCCATATCGGCTTCACTTGGTCTCCCGTGTCCTTGTGGCAGAGTGTCTGCCTGCTCTGCCATCTTGCCCCAGAAGTCCCAAAAGATGAGTTTTGAAAACCCTCTGGAGTAGTTCTTCTCTGACACACCTGGGAATCACCATGAGCGTCAGCTGACGTGACAGCAACTGATTTTGTTAGTTTATTTTGGGGGGTTGGGTTTGCATTTTTTGGAATATAGCAGGGATGAAATGAGAGAGATGTGCTTTGGAACAGAGGCCTGGCCCGTGGCAACACCTCCGTACCGTGACTAGCAGCAACACCACCACCACCTATACTCACAGCACCGGCTGCCGTGGGTCTGACTCTGAACCCTCAAGAAAGATCAAATCAAAACAGCCCTCCCCCTAGAGGCAGCCACGGTGAGCCTCCAGCCAGGTCATCAGCAAGGCCACAGTATGGATACCCTTGAGACCTTCCTCCTGCCACAGCCACACGCGAGACAACATGAGATCTCTCCCACTCAGGCCAGACACAGAGCCCTGCAGGCAGCATTTGCACAATCTGACAGCCCGAATGGCAGCTATGTTATGTGCCTCTGACGTGCGCTTTGCCAAAGCTTTATTTTATTGGCTTGTCCTGCAGGGACACTGTCTCCTTCTGCCCCCATGTCAGGTGAGCACAGCCCTAACTGTGGGTTAGACACAGAGAGCAGTTAGCTCACAGGTGGCCTAAGATAGCTTCATCATGTGGCAAGCATACACCCTACAGGAAACGGGCACCCAGGGCTGTGGTCCCCCTTACCACCACTCTCCCACTTGCCGCATCACACCACTGAACTGGGACGGCTCCTCTCAGACACAGCAGCCAGGCCCAGGGATGGTCCTCAGTGACAGCCTCTGCCTGGAGGAAGGTCACAGTGTTTCTAGAAGACCCTGCAGGATCTGGCCAAGTTGGCACTGTCCACCCCTCACTAACCCCACCTACTGCAGCCCCAACCTGGGCTAACTACACCCATCACACCTACTGCCAGCCAGACAAGTGCCAGACTTTCTGTCACCAGGCGGAAGTCTTGCTCAGCCTTTAGGGCCGAGCCAGAACCTCAGCTATGCGAGACGCCCTCGTCATCACCCTTCCCAGACCAGGTCCCCATCCTCTGAGACAGCAGTGTACTGGTCTCCTCCTGAACACAGGGTGCAATCACTTTGCTTGTTACCAGCTTTTGTGCATCACCCCAATCAACTTTAAGTCCTTTAGGGGTGTTGTGGATTAAATGGTCTCCCCCAAAAGATACACTGAAGTCCTAACCTTAAACCTGGGAACATGGCTTGTCTTGTTGGGCAAGTCTCTTGACTTCTCAGGGTCAGTTTCTTCATCTTAACAAAATGAAAGAAAACCAAAAGAAAAAAGACAGGGGGAAAAAAAAAAGTGTGGACTAATCAGATGAAATCAGTAGTTGTCAAACTATTCCAAGAACCCCAAGGTTCCTTTAAGGGGACTCAGAGACCACCAGAGATAGGCCCCACCACCTGCTTCTCCCAGAGTTGTACCACTTCCATCTGTTTATATATGCCCACAGAAGACTAGAGCAGGTTCTGAGGACTGGTGCTCCGTGATGTGCCCACGGTTCTGACACACACTGAGCCTCTGGAACAACGCTCCCAGCAACCCGGACTCCATCGCGGAGCAGCCCGAGCCCTGCGGACCCCTGACCCACCTCGTTGAAGATGATCCTGGGTGGCTGCCTGGAGAGCTGCTTGGTTGGTCTCACTGTGGTTTTCCACGTCTTCCCAAAAAAGTGTCGGTAGGTGACATCCAAAAGAGACACCCGCAGGTGGCATTCGATTTCTGACAGCACTTCCTGCACACTCTGTAAGAAAAGAGTCAGTCCAGAAGACCTCTCAGAACATAAGCCTTCTCACAGCTGCCAGGTGGAACATTCCAGAACACACTGGCCCCTCAGCATCCATCCCTGTAGGTTTGGGTCTCAGAACTTCAATTTGCTTTTGAGGAATCCCTTCTCCCATACTCACTGCTCCGGGGGTGGGGGGGAGAGATGATAAACCCAAAAGAACAGCCCTCTCTGGTGGCCAATCAGGCACAAGCCTAACACTCACTCAGTGCTAATACCTAGGGGCCAAGGCTGTGAGGTGGAAATACCTGTGGAGCCAAGAGAAGCAGGAAGAACAAATCGAGTCACATCATTTGAGACCCTGGATCAAACCATACCTGAAGCCTATCTGCCTGTGCCAACTCACTATTAAAATGGAAAAAAAAAAAATTTAAAACCAAACTCAAATGCACAAAAAAGTCCAGATTCACTGGTCTGACAGAGATGGGAGGATCCCCCTGGAAATGCAGCCACCTCTGGAGGTCACCTTTCAGCCAAATAACAGACTGGCCTATAAAATCAACAGTGACACTGTGAGAAATGTGCTCCTTAGAACAATTCAAGACCAAACTGGCAACATTTGCCCAAAAGCAAAGATGGAGAGGCACAGAGGGCAGAGAAACCAAGGGGATGGAAATGAAGAGTCTGATGGAGACACACTGCAGGGAGAGCCACTAACGTTTCGAACACTCTGTGTACAAGTTGCTGAATGGGAGGAACATTGATTTACGGTATCAACTTTCATCCGCTGCTCCTGCTATATGTCATCGAGTCAGTTCCTACTCACAGCAACCCTATACAGGGTTTCCGCGGCTGTAAATCTTTATGGTAGTAAAAAGCCTCCTCGTTCTCCTGCAGAGTGGCTGCTGGATTTAAACTGCTGACCTTGCAGTTAGTAGCCCAAAACATAACCCACTACGCTAAGGCTCTTTAAACTTTCGACAGCAAAATAAAATGTTCCTAAAACATAAACTGACTCTTAGCTTAAACCATCTTGTCATTCTTTGTTAAGTGCCATCCTGTTGGTTCTGACTTATAGCAACACTGTATAGGGTTTCCAAAGAGCAGCTAGTGGGTTTGAACTGCCAACCATGTGGTTCACAGTCCAGTGCTGATCTTACAGCGCCACGCCAGGAGTCCCAAAACATCTTGGTGGTGGTTGGGTGCCATGGAGTCAGCTCTGACTCATAGCAACCCTGTACAAGGTTTTCCAGGCTATAAATCTTTACCAGAGCAGAAAGCCTCATCTTTCTTCTGCAGAATAGCTGAAAGTTTCGAACTGCTGACCTTGAGATTAGCAGCCTGACTCACAACTACTACTCTACCAGAGCTCCTTTAAACCATCTTAAATGGGTATTTTTGGTCATTGGCAACCAATCTGTCCTCCCCAGTACAACCAGAAACTCTAAATCCTCAATTTGTCTGACTTATCTGGGAAGACATTAGCTAAGGAAGAGCAGCTATCCGATGACTGAAAGAGCAGGGCTATAAACACAGAACAAAAAAGCACTCAGACCCTGTCCAGACGAAGACTTTACTATTTGTCTCGAGTTTTACTTTTAGCCTTCCCAGCTCTTACTGGTGGTAGAGTCCTTGCTGTCTGTCCCTGGGACAAAGGGCTCTTTGTTTCTCTGTCATTCACTCACTTAGCAAGTACTAGTTATGTGTTTACCCTGCTGTACCTACTTTGTGCTGAGCGAGCACTGTGTTAGACCCTGGAGAATAACAGGGAGCAAACAGTGAGGGAGGACATGGGGTGAACACATGCTTCAGCCAAGAGAGTGAGGATGTTTGAGCAGAGGAGGAGTCTGGGGTAGACAGGGTCTGGACACAAGGAGCAGCAGGGTGTCTGGGGCCAGCGAGATGCCCACATGGCTGTAAAAGGCTAAGGGAGGTGGGGAGGCAATGAGGGGTAGCACTCATCAGGCCAGGTGACAAGAAGCTGAGGTTTGACGGCGAATGGGATGGGAAAGGCTCTGTGAAGTGACTCATGTGACCGGGGCGTTTAAGAACATCACTGAGGCCACCACGTGCAATGGCAGCTGTGAGACCCCCAGGAGGCTGCAGTTGCCATGTGCGGCGGACAGATACAGGGTCTGCTCAGAAGGTAGGGCTGACCCAACACAGTGCCATGATGGACAGGGAACCTGAAGTGGGGAAGCAGCGTGAAGGGCGGGGTGACCACCTGCCCCCTTTGCCTGAGACACCCCAGCATCAACCCTGTTGATCCCCGTCCTGAGTGAAGCACAGCCTTGTGTTTTGTGACTGGAGCAATAAGAAATGGGGTACTATTTGTGGAAGTAGAGGAGATAGGGGAAGGAATGAAGAGAATGAGTTCAGCGGTGTAACCATGTCTGCCAGAGTCCCCCTTCTTTAAAAGCACTCGGCTCAGAGACTCTGCGCTCAGCATGGCCTGCTGCCTCCGCCCAGCTCCCAGTGTTTATATACATGCCAACTGTCACCCCCAGAGAGAGTGTGAGCCCCCAATGACAGGAACCTGCTCCACCTGAGGGCCGTTCACACCCCATCACCATGGAGCCACCCTGGGCTCCACCATCCACCTCCTAGCCAGGTTCTGACTCCCCCAGAACTCCCAACCCACAGAGTCTCTCAGGGAACATTCTGTCAGCCTCGGCAGCCTCCTGGCCGACGGCTCCACACAGAACAGTCTGTCCCTCCGGGCCAGCCTCTCACTCCTTCCCCCATCTTAACCTCTGGAAGTCTTCCCTGACCCTGGTCTTTCTGCTCAAAACTAAGCACCCCTCCACCTCTGTGCCTTCTATCCAATCCTTGTCATGGCTGACCACACAGTGATGGGGCATGGGAGTCTCTAGACCTGGGCCCCAACCTAATGTCTCTGACAACTGCCGTGGGGCAGAGCCCTCTCTCTGTGTCCCCCTAGCACAGCTCCACACACAGTGGGTGGTGCCCAATAAACATCCACTGGAATTAAGGGTGACCCAAGTGAGAGAAATACAATCAGTGTTCACTTGACTTTCTTACCGTGAGCTCAACAACAGGTCATATTTTTAGCCCACGACCTTCCATAGGAAGGTTTGCTATCATCTAAAGCTCTGGTAGCATAGTGGTTACGAATCGGGCTGCGAACCATAAGGTCAGCAGTTCGAAACTACTAGCTGTTCAGTGGAAGAAAGATGAGGCTTTCTGCTCCCGTAAAGATTTGCAGCCTCAGAAACCCTGTACAGGGTCACTATGAATCGGAACCAACTCCATGGCACATAACCACCTCCACCAAAGCAGGGTGGGAGTCCTGGTGTGGCGCTATAGGATAAGCACCGGACTGCAAAGTCAGTTTGAGCCACAAGGTCGACAGTTCAAACTCACCAGCCACTCCTTGGAAACCCTATACAGGGTTGCTATGAGTCGGAACCGACTGGACAGCATTTGATATCAACAGTAACAACAATGCAGGTATAGGGAGCCTTTTTTCTGCCAAAATGTATAATATCGATTCACGAGCCATACAAAATTATCAATTTAAACATTAGTATGCTATATTTGGTTAAGCATGTAATTAACTCATCCCTAATGTGATGGCTGAAATTGCAGTTACCTTCCTGGGCCAGACCAAATGATTTTGTGAGCAGAACATTTCCCAGCCCTGATCTAAAGCTATCAGTTTTCAAACCAACTAAAATTATGCAAACTTGTTAAGACTATCCAAATTAAAACTGCTCTTTTGACATTTACATTCTACTTCACCTTCTGTTACATGGTATTTTTTGATTTTATATGTGTAAAACTAACTGTATATGTGATACACCTCATTTGATCATGGTTTTATATATTGCCACATTTGATTTCCTAATATTTTGAAGATTGTGTGTATGTGTGTGTGTGTGTGTGCCAATATCCATGAAGGATATCAGTCTGTACTTTCCTTGTCTTTGTTTTGTTTGCTGTCAGGGATAAAGTGGCCTCAAAAAAATAAGTGGGGAAACACTGGCTCCTTCTCTCTTTTCTGAAGAGTTTGTCGAGAACTGGTATCATTTTTTCCTTTGATATTTGGCAGACTCAATGATGAGGTCATCTGGGCCTAGAGTTTTCTTTGTGGGACGTGGTTTACTTACAAATTCAATGTCCTTAATGACTGTCAAATCATTTGGATTTTCCATTTCTTTCACCATCAAGTTTTGCCAGTTTTTAAGGAATTTATCTCATCTAAGTTGTCTTGTTGGTATATATTCATAAAATTCCTTGATTACCTTTTTCAATGTTTGTAGGATTTGTACTGACACTTCCTCTTTCACCTCTGATCTTGCTGCTCTGTGTTCTCTCTCTTTCTCTCATGATCAGTCACCCAAGGTTTAACCAACTTGATTAACTTTCCAAGAATCAACTTTGAGCTCTGACTTTCCCTTTGTCTTTTATTTTACTGATTTATGCTCCTATGTTTATGAATTAGTTATCTGGTACTGCTGTAACACACATACAAGAGAGATGGCTTTAACAGAAAGTCATCCTTGTCTCCTTTCAGCATCGTGCTCCTGTGTCCAATTTGCTCTTTTTATAGCTCAAAAATGATGGCCTTCAGACACAATCTGCTCTGCTATGCCCTCACTGACATAACAAAGAAAGTCCTTTATTCCCAAATGGTATGACATCAAAAAGTATAGGGGTTAAGATGTACAACACATGTTTTGAGGATACACAATTTAACCCATAACCATAGTCAATGAAATACTTTTTTTTAGAGTTTCAATCCTTTGAAATGTAAAGACTTAGTTTAAGGCCCAGTGTATGGTCTGTATTGGTAAACCTTTCATGTGCACTTTGTTGTTGTTGTCAGGTGCCATCGAGTCGGAACCGACTCATAGCGACCCCATGCACAGCAGAATGAAACAATGTCTGATCCTGGGCCAACCTCACTACCGCTGCCACACCTGGACAATCCATCTTGTTAGAGGTCCTCCTCTTTTTCTCTGACTCTCCACCTTAACCAGCATGACATCCCTCTCCAGCAACTGTTTCCTCCGGACAATATGTCCAAAGTATGAGAGACGAAGCTTAGCCATCCTGGCCTCCAAGGAACACTCTGGCTGCACGTCTTCCAAAACAGATCTATTGGTTCTTTTGGCAGTCCATGGCACTTTCAGTATTCTCCTCCAACACCACAACTCAAAGGCATCAATTCTTCTACGATCTTCCTTATTCACTGTCCAGCTTTCGCATCCATATGAGGCTATTGAAAATACCATGGCTTGGGTCAGGTGCACCTTAGTCCTCAAGCTGACATCTCTGCTCTTCAATACTTTAAAAAGTTCCTGTGCAGCAGATTTGCCCAGTGCAATACGTCGTCTGATCTCTTGACTGCTGCTTCCATGAGTGTTGATAGTTGATCCAAGAAGAATGAAGTCCTTGACAACTTCAATCTTTTCTCCATTGATAAGAATGTTGTTTATTGGTCCAGTGGTGAGGATTTTTGTTTTCTTGACATTGAGATGTAATCCATATAGAAGGCTGTGCTCTTTGAACTTCATAAGTAAATGTTTCAAGTCCTCTTCACTTGGGAAGACAGCATTCTGTTGATTACATCATATTGATGGATGGTATTGTTCCAGACTTCCAAATCCTGACACCTTGCTCAGTTTGCTTTATCTGTTATTAAGAAAGGAGAATCAGAAGTCTCTGACTATGACTATGATTATAGCTACCTTTAGTTCTGTCAAATTCTGCTTCATGTGTTTGGGAGCTGGGAGGAAGAGTGTAGCATAGTGGCCTGACTGCTACCCTTTGAAAGCCCTGTTGGTCCATCTGAGAACTTGGATTTCAGGAGGGTTCTTCTAAGTACACTCACTGAGAAGAGTGCTTAAACTGTTTGTACAAACTGTAGTTTACAGGCTGAACATCTGCTATCTTCCTGGGAGTGTGGGATTTTAACATGTGCTCTGCGGCAGACCAGCTCCAATCAAAGCTGTGTTTCTAATGTGCTTCCCTGAGTAGATAGGGATGGGGGGGTGGGGGGGGGGGGGTGGGGAACAACACTAGTAAGGTATGCTCACTAGGGAATGGAAAATCCAAAGGGCAACATTTCCCTAAGGACAGTGTTGAGAAGGATGGGAAGGTGGGTGGAATGCAAACAGGAAGCACAGGGAGGAAGTAGGGTAACTGGTTGCAGGGAGTGCATTGCAATCACTGAGATGAAACAAAGTGTCTGATTTGTTGAATGTAAAACAATGTGCTTCCCGGGGTGGCGACATTTCACATGTGCTGTTTCAACTCACATCTTATGTGATCCACTGGGACAGCCCCTGGGAAGCTAGCATCTGGTTGCCTCTGGACCCGGCCCCATGCAGCTTTCTCTTTGCTAATCTCGCTCTAGGTCTTTGCGCTGTAATCATTTAGCTGTGGCCAATTGAGAGATGAGTCATGTGCACACTCCTGGTGAACAGAAGAAGCTGGGGTGGTCCTGAGGGTCTCTGACACAGGAGTGTACACATTCAGCGCTGGTAGATCTTCTTAGTTAATTAACCCTTTTCTCATTAGGAAACACTCTTTTATCTCTGGGAATACTTTGTCTGGCGTTAGGAGAGCCATGCCAGCTGTCTTCTGCCCAGTGTTCTGCATCGTGCTGGGCAACCCCTACAAGCAATCATTTGCATACACCAATATGCAGAATGGGGTCCTTCGTGTGCAATCACACAGATTGCTGGGTCTCACTAGACAACCCAGTTACATAGGTGCTCTACAGAGCCACCTGGCCTGAGTGTGTAAATGACTTGGTAAGCCAAGTACATGCAGGCCACGTGCAGAACTGCTGGGAAGCCAGCACTCGGTCCCTGGCAGTAGTGGACATCAGGCTGAAGGCACCTCTAGCACAAAACGTGGCAGTTTCCCAAGAAATCAGATTACCTGTGTGCTGAGATTGCTCCCTGCGGGCAGAAAGGCAATCTCGCCGAGTGCCCTAAAGTGCTGACCAAATTGCCCAACCGTTTACTCTCTTTGCTGACAGGCCCAGGGGAATGGGTAGAAATGCAGGTGCAGGAAAGACTCAAGAATCGATATGGGAACTAGAATCTCCTCTCAGCTGAGAGCAACGAGGACATGCATCGCACAACAAAGCTCAAGTGTCTCCTTTACCTGCTTGATGAGTGGACCGTCCAGCCACTTGAGGACACACTGGAACGCTGTGGATTCCTTCGGAAGCTGGCGCACCCTCTGGGGATGGGGCGGGACGAGCACATTTTGGGCGAATACCCCATGCCAATCCTTCATGCTGTTGCACCAAGGGTCTCGTGGCCTCCAGGGTTAGCTGCAGCATTGGTGTTGACACAAAGAAAAGAAGTGGTTAAGGGGCCACAGTGCTGAGATATTCTGAGTTTCCTTATCTCCCACCGACTCTGAGGAACTTCTACACCCAAAACCCACACTCTGCAGCCCGACCGCCCAACACCAGCAGTCAGTGGCCTTGGCGCTGGTGTCCACATTGCCCCCACCAGGTCAATGTACCCATCTGGCTTCAGGGATTCTCTCCACCTCCGCCTTTCCTGGCCAGCTGGCACCCATGACCCTGGACTCAGGGACTGGTGTAGGGGTGAACACATGAAGGGCCATTCTGTATAGCTGTTCAGGTGCACGAATGGAGGAGGGGGGACGTGGAGTGGGCATGACCCAATCAGAGCCAATGACATGCAACCCCAGGGCTTCCACAGACCCATAGAAGGTAATACTCTTTCTTGTAGCCCTTGGATAGGTGGTCAGCATGAAGCTATCAGGGACCAACCACAGTTGCAAGAGTTACTGTGAGACAAACACACACAGGTGTTGTTGTTGTTAGGTGCTATGGAGTAAGTACCAACTCATAGTGACCCTATACAAAACATAACGAAACACTTGTTGCCACAAATGTTGCCACGCTTGAGTCCACTGATGCTGCCATCTTGCCAATTCATCTCGTTGGGGGTCTTCCTCTTTTTCTCTGACCCCCCACCTTATCCAACATGATATCCTTCTCCAGCAACTGGTCCCTCTTGACAATATGTCCAAAGTATGAGGGACAAAGTTTGGCCATCCTGGCCTCCAAGGAGCACTCTGACTATACTTCTTCCAACACAGATCTGTTGGTTCTTTTGGCAGCCTATAGCACTTTCTATATTCTCCTCCAAAACCATAACTCAAAAGCATCAATTCTTCTACGGTCTTCCATATTCACTGTTCAGCTTTCACATGCATGGGAGGTTATTGAAAATACCATGGCTTGGATCAGACGCACCTTAGTCCTCAAACTGACATCTTTGCTCTCCAACACTTTAAAAAGGTCTTGCGCAGCAAATTTGCCTAATGCAATATGTCGTATGATTTCTTGACTGTTGCTTCCGTGAGTGTTGATAGTTGATCTGAGCAAAAGCAAGAGGGTCTAGACGTCATCATTGAAGGTCTGGCTCTAGGGAACCCTAGTATCAATCACCCTGGAAGTCCAGCTACAGAATGCCGCTCTTTTAGCTCAAGCTGCTTTGGGGCAGGTTTTGAGGGCTCACTGCTCCCAAGTGGCCTGGCTCATTTAAGGCATTACCTCCCTTCAGCTGGACAGGGACCTGAAAGGCTTCTAGAACCTTCTTCTCAGTTGATGCAGAATGTTAAGATTTTGGCCTTTCTGAGAATCTGAATTTTGTACACCCAAACAATATGCAAGGAGCAGAAGCAGTGGGTTTGGTTCCCTCCAGGGGTGCCCACAAGGTCAAAGGCATCATTTTACTTCTCCCCAGCCCCCAGTACTGACTTGCCAAGGGCTCTGAAGGAGTGAACACCTGGGCAGGTGAAACTGTTGGGGTCATGTCACGGGAAGAGCACCAAAGAAGCCTTGAGTTCTTCACCACTCACCGTGAAACATACATCAGTGTCACTTCTGAAAGCCTTGGAAACAATTCATTTTATTGTAGCTCAGCCTGTGAGCATGTATGCGTGTTCGATTCTGTCTGACAAAGCGGGAGATGTGCATAAGCTCTTCTGCAAATAACCAACATTGGGTGGTCTTCTCAGGAGGAAGGGCTGATGGGACTGGGTGGGTGGCGAGCTGAACTAGCTGTTTTTTCCAAGGAAGTGACTAGGAGACAAATTGGAGTCCTGGTGTGGCACTGTGGGTTAATGGGCTGGACTGCAAAGTTGGTTTAACCACAAGGATGGTGGTTCAAGCTCACTAGCTGCTCCTTGGAAACCCTATACAGGGTCGCTATGTGTGGGAACCGACTCGACAGCACTTAACAACAACAAGGAGACAAATTAAGGAACTCTGGTAGCATATTGGATTACGAGCTGAGCTGCTAACCAAAAGGTCAGCAGTTCTAATCTACCAGCTGCTCTGCTCCCACAAAGATTACAGCCTCAGAAACCCTAAACAGGGTTGCTAAGAGTCGGAACTGACTCCATAACACACGACCACCACCAGGAGACAAATTATGGATATTCCAACTTTCCTCAAACATGGACAGAGTGAGCCTGTCACTTAAAGGGAAGCAGCTATAGAAAACGTGTCCAATCGAACATTAGAATCAAGAGAATGTACCTATCTCCTGACAGCCCCCCTGCTTCTAATGAGATGGGCAGAAATAGTGACAAAGGTGATTGGGGGAAATTGTATCATTAAATGAGTCAATATCTGGGAGACCTACGGAACTTCGGAAACCAAGATTTTTCAAAATGAACAGCAGGTAACAATATAAAATCACAAGTGGGTAAATGATCTACCCACTTGTGGCAGACAGACCAGGGTTGTAACGTATGAAAGCTTATTAACCAAGTGTCAGATGAACACGCAACAACAAACCTTTCAGATACCATGGCTCCACACAAAAAACCGGAACTGTGAACTACAAGGTCTGTGGTTCAAGTCTGTCAGCCACTCAGAGAGAGAAAGATGAGACTTTCTGCTCCCACAAAGTTTAAAAGCCTCATAAACCTTATACAGGGTCACCATGAGTCAGAACCAACTGGACTTCACTTAACAACTTTCTTCTTGGACTCCTACTGCGGCAATGTAGGGTAAGGATTGGACTGTTAACCGCAAGGTCAGAGGTTCAAACCCAGCAGTCACTCCTTGGAAACTCTATGCAGGGTTGCTATGAGTAGCGACAACTCACCAGCACTTAACAATAACAACAACAATTAGAGAGGAATATCTACAATTCTGTAAGCTACTTATCTGAAGGAGATTGGATTGTCTTCAGATAAACAAAAGCCAGACCTGTTGCCATCAAGTCCTCCGTGATGAAACAAAAAATACGATGGTAGGGGAGCCCCCCTTGTGGCTGGAAGAACAGCAGAAAGATAAAGGCGGGTTCCATGCTGTAGTCCAAGAAAAGGAGACAAAGGGCTCTCAAAGGAAAAAAAAAATGAAAATGAAAATGCGCCCCCTTTTATTAAGTCTCTATCAGGAAACCATGGGTTCAAACCCTCCCACAGATGTCTCAGAAGGCGTGGAGATCCATGGAGCACACGTCTACTCTGACACACGAGATCACCATGAGTCGGAACAGACTCAACGGCAACTTGGACTAGTTTGGTATATTAAGTACTCGGCACTCACAAACAGTTTCTTATTATTCCAAGAACCCTGTAAAACTCATGCCACTATTATTTTCCTTTTACAGATGAAGAAACTTCAGATTCGGTGCAAAGTCACACTTCTAATCCTAACTAAGCTCACCGCCAGTCTAACCAGGCTCCGCCCTCCATGCCATCCAGGAGCTGAAAGAGGAGACACACCTGTGGAGGGTTCCAGAGACCTGCTAACATGTCTCTCCTGGCTGCCTTCCCTGCCTGTTCCCGAGACGCTGTGATGCTCCCAAGAGACCCTTGATTCTGTAGATCTATTTAACAAATACTTCCTAAGCATCTACTCTGTTCCAAAGGGGCCCTGGTGATAGAGTGGTTAAAGTGCTTGACTGCTAACCAAAAGGTTGGCGGTTCTACCAGCCGCTCCTCTGGAGAAAGAAGTCTACTTTCTCTAAAGAGTTACAGCCTTGGAAACCCTACTGTGTCCTCTGGGATTGCTATGGGTCAGAATGGACTCAATGGCAGTGGGATTTGGGTTCCTCTCGTCTCATCTATGCAGACAAAACAGTGAAAGGCCCCATGCTCAAGAATCTGAAAATCCAGAGGGGAGGAGGGCAAGGAGCTGAATGTGAAGACACAGGAGATGTGCCTAGCCCCGGGCTACTTGGAAAGCAGGGACTGGGAGGAAGGGGCCAGGTACGCCCAAGTATTAAGCCAGGCTGAAGACTTTAAAATTAAAGAGTACATAGTGGATAGCCAGGAAAGGGGCAGACAAGGGAATTCTGATGCTCCCTTCAGAAGCTAAAGGGGTCTGGAAGGCCACACTTACACTGAAAGGCTAAGTCAAGTCAGCGGAAGTCTGATTAAGCAGTGCCTAGCATTCTCTCATTCCACTAATACTGAGGGCCTGCCATGTCCAGGTAGGAGTTCCTGAGTGGTGTAAATAGCTATGCACCCTACCTCTAGCGAAAAGGTGGGCAATTTGAACCCACCCAGAGATGCTTTGGAGTCCTGATGTGATGCTGTGGGTTAATGTGCTGAACTGCAAAGTTAGTTTGCACCACAAGGTCAGTGATTCAAACTCATCAGCCGCTCCTTGGAAACCCTATACAGGGTTGCTATGAGTCAGAACCAACTCCACAGAACTTAACAACAGAGATGCTCTGCAATATAAGCCTGGAGATCTGCGTCCAAAAGGTCAGTCTTGAGAGCCCTATGGAGCAGTTCCATTTTGCACTTATGGGGTCTCCACAAGTTAGAGTCAACCGGATTTAGCAGCAACTAACACCACATCCAGTCATTGTACTAAGCCCGAGAAACGCTCAGAAGACAGGGGACAAGCTCCTTCCCCTCATGGAATGATCTGTGGAGTGAAACAGAAATACAGCACACAGAAAACTACAGTGCTGTGAATTCTGACAGTTACACAGCAAAGCACAGTTGCAACAGCAGGTTCAAACACAATTGTGAGGGTGGTACAGGACTGAGCATTTCATGTTGTACATGGGGTTGCTATGAGTTGGCACCAACCCAAGGGTACTTAACAACACAGTAGAGCAGAGGTGCAGTGAGCTGTAATAGAGACCTGAGTTCAAAACAGAAGATAACTATTCACAACGACTCAACTACATTCACATAAGCATATGAGGCTGGACTTACAACATACATAGCAAAAAGATGCAGCAGAAATGAGAATCCAACTGGCTTTCTTTAACCAGACATTA